GGATGAAACTATCTTCATATCTCAAAGCAAGTATGATAGGAATATAGTAAAGAAGTTTGGGTTAGAAAATTCTAGTCATAAAAGGACATATGCTGCCACACACTTGAAACTAACTAAGGATGAAAAATGTGTTGATGTGGAGGAGTTATAGAAACTAAAGTTGTGGAGGAGTTATAGCAACTAAAGTTGTGGAGGAGTGAAATAGTTACTCATATTTCCTCCATTTAATGGTGCACAAATTTTTAGGGAAGTCTTTACAAAATATCATGGTCAATGTTAGGAATCTAAAGAATCTCAAAAGGATGTTCTGACAACAAGGAGTTGGTGGATCTAATTGAGTTGCTGGTTAACATGTATGAGGTTTGTGTGAGTAAGATAAGAAAGGAGTATAGGAAATTCTTTGACATAGGAAAATGTGTGAAGAAGATTTGTTGTTCTTCTCCTATGAGCATGGTTGTTTTTGTCAACTTTTAGTTAAATGGGGGGGGGGGGGGGGGGGGGGGGGTAGTTTGGATGTTTACAGTTTGTCTTGTTGATGCTGCTGCATTTAATCTACTTGAGGGGGTAGTTTTTTTGTTAGTGTTTATGTTAAACTTTTTAGGGGAAGCATTATGTTCATCCTTGTTATCTTTTGGTTGATCATATAGTATTAAGGGGGAGTTTGTGTGCTTGATGTCACACATCTGGTCTAGACATCTGGTCTGAAATATTTTTTTGAAGAAATTTTTGTTTCTCCATTTTCTTCTGAAGCTGTGTGAGATGTTATACCTGATATTCTGATGTCATATATGTGATAACTAAAATAGGGTGTAATATACATATATTTACACATGATTTTTATTTAAAATGGTGTAATTTGGAATATTTACACCCGATTTTTATCGAGTGGGAGTAAATTTGTTTGCTTAAAATGTATATATATAACACATTACCCCGGTTTTCTATTAAAAATGGTGTAATTTAGCATATATATATATACCCGATTTTTATCAAATGGGAGTAAATTTGTTTCCTTAAAATGTACAGATGTCACATTATACACTTGTTATCTATTAAAAAAGGGTGTAATTTAGCATATATTTATACCCTTTTTTAGACGAGTGTAAATTCGTTAGACATTTCTCACCCATTGAATTTACACCCTTTAAAAATGGGTGTAATTTATAAAAAAAGGGTGTAAAATTATCTTATATTACTATTGATTGTTTGGAGGACGTCGACTGTAAGAGAATGACTTTAACAGAGACTTCGGTATATTATCATTTGATATTTTTACACAATCTATAATATTCAAAGGTGAATCATAAGATGTTAGGGTTTCCTTTCTTTGTAAATTTAAAAATGTTTGTAAGAAAAAGGGATTTGGAAATTTAAACTAGAAACTAAAGAAAAGTTCATAAAATTAGAAGAATACACAAAAAGCTATGATTCATTCACAACAACATTAAGATTTTTGTTTCTCGTAAAATCCTACTTCACCCAAACCAAAATTAATTGATAAATACATAAGACTTTACGTTTTGGTTCAAAAGCAACTTATGTAAACGAGAAACTAATTTATGGTGAGCTTCGATTCAGAAATAGAGAAGCAAATAGTTTTCCTTTTCAGGCCGAGAAGAAAATTGTTTCATTGTTTTTTACTTTCACTGTATATTTCCCAAATGATCAGTGCACAAGAAAAATTTGGGGATGATATTGGGGGACGATAGAAGAAAAACCGTCTCAGCTTCGGTAAAAGGGAATAAGTATTTCTACGTGTTTCTAGCAGTTGGGCCCCTTCTCTAATAGGTACAATATCAACATGCCTTTTATGTTGAATATTTGTAACAAATAGCTCTTTGTAGAATCTGATCACTTCCATTTCAATATCTGTAAAATCAGCCATCTTTCTACTCCGAGGATCGTTTAAATTGTGCATTCCAATTTTTTTTTGTTTTTTTCTCTAGCTGTATTATAGAAATATTCATTATTTTCATACTCCAATTTGAGCCAATTTATCTTGATTTTTGCATTAGTATATATTCGTCAGTATCACTGTTTTGTAGA